CGCGTCGTTTGTGTTAAATGTCAGCGCTGTGGCAGGGCAGGTCCCTAGGCTGGGGTCACAGCAATTGACCTTCCATTCATCACAACAGCCACTGCCAGTGGCATACGCTTTGGCTCTCGTTCTGGTTCTGGTTCTGGCTCTGGCGCATATTGTTTATCTATTGATGTTTACAAAATTCATTTATTGATTACGGCAGACGCCACACGAAAGTTTTTGGTTACAAAAACAACACCAGCGCACGGGTGCTGGCCATTGAATTTGGGTTTCTGGGTTCTGGGTTCTGGGTCTTGGGTCTTGGGTTTCGGCTCTGTAATTATCCACTCAAATGAGGCTGAAAAACAGTTGAAGCATAGCTGTAACTGCTGTCAAGTCCTTTTATCTGGCGTCTTCTGTTAGTTAATGATGAGTGCTACGAGTTTTTCCATATGACGACTTCCGCTTCACATTTTTACACACCCTGTGCCCAATGAAATTGGTTGAGTTGAGGTATTATGTTGCTGTGCAAATGTATGTGACAGGCAGAAAAAGGATTTTTTCCGAATATGCAAAGTATATATATATATATATCATATATCGAGTCAATCCAGCCCCGTTCATCTGTTCGTTTGCATAAGATTTGATGTACATATATATTTTCGTATAGTATTCGGAGAAGGAGCTATACTTTTTGCTCGGTATCTCCCACATTTTCATAATATCGATAAATATCGATTTTGAAACAAGGTTTTTATGCAATTACTCAGAGACAAGATGAGCTGGAGAAACCAAATTTTGGGTATGGAGTCTCTTAAAGTGAATATTTCATTAGGATCGGTAAATAAACATCTGTGTTATTCGAGCCGTACAGAACTTGTGTGTATGTGTGTTTTTGTCTATATATTTATATATGCAAGACGTTTGTGTACAAAAGGAACTTCATTCTTTGTAAGGGTAGCTCTTCGCTGAATAAAGGACAACTGTTAGTCGTGCACTCCCGACTAGAGCACTTTAACTTGTATTTTGTTGATGTTGTTGTTGTTGTCTTTAAGCCTTTTTGGTTGGCAGCCAAATAACTGTAAATAAGCAGGTTGTCGCGGAATGCGACAACAGTTGTTGTTGTCGTCGTCTCCCGGCGCTCGCGTCCTTCGTTTGAGGCAAATTTGCTTGGATGTTGGATGTTGCCTTTACACAAAAGGCAACAAATGAAAGACAAAAATATTTTGTAATGAAAGGACTTGAGAAATATAATAAATAATGACAAGTCCCCAAGCAAAGTGAAATGCAACCATGAGCAAGGCAGAGCCCCCCAGCGAACACACCCAACCCTACCCAGCTCTGGCTTTTCACTCACATTTCCTCGCTGCTGCTGCTGCTCGTTGCTGATGTGCCTTTAAAGCACAATGACAATTAGAAAATCGTTGGCACTGTATAAAAAAAGGGCTTTGCCGCCATCTCGTGTTTTCGCAGTGCTCATTTCGAGAATTTTGTTTTCTGCCTTTTGGCGTGAAAAATGAGCTGCAAGGCTAGAGAGCCTCAAGGAAAACAAAACGGGGTAAATTTCTTTTCAGTTGCATTTGAGCGTGCAAAAGATTTATGCTTGGGTCTTGTTTTTCATTATTTTGTGCCTTTTGCAAATCACAATGATGATCCAATTGTTTAGAAATCTGTGTCGCATTTTTCATTAACTAATTGACGCGAATTCAGCTTAGCAGCTTTTGCACTCTGTCTAAAATTGGATATTTGCTGACAATAAATACAAAATGACATCGAATTACGATTAAAACCATTTTGCTGTATTAAATATCTGCTGAATACTTTTGCTAGATTTTCAAATGCAATAGCTTAATGAACGCTGATGCGATTTAAACAAGGATTATTATTTTTGTATTGAGGTTTTTTATGTAATTATAATTGATGTATTCTGTTTATGTAATTTTTATATAAGTTTTTCGTAAATGTAGTTTATAAAAATATTAAAAATCAATTCTTATAATATTTGGATTCCATGCTTTCTCAATTATTTTTATAAACTTAAGAAATGGATATTTAAAATCTGATATCGGCTTAAGTGTCAAAACTTGACTCAAGCCAGAAGTAAATAGATTTGCGTCAATACGAATTGATAAACAATTATTTATGCATTTAATATAAACTTTTAGTCAGAGATTAAGGACTAGCACTTTAATCTAAGGCAAAAAGTTGATGATCAGAAGCATATTTGTAAATAAATTCATTTGAGTTTTAGTTTAACTTTTTGCTGAGCACACAACAAGTGCCTTCGTTTTGATAAAGCAATCAAAAAACATTTAGTAAATTATTCAAACTTATCTAAAGAGCCGAAACACAAAAAAAAAAATAACAAAAACAGAAACATGCTGACAACATGAAAACACAAACACAACATAAAATGCAAAACATGAAAACCATTTTATGATGAAATCCAAACAAAAAGCCCCATTTAAAATGCAACCAACTGGCATATATATATGTATGAATGTATGTGTGTGTGCGTGTGTGTGGGTGTGTGCAAATAATCTCTATAGCCCAAGGAATATGCATGCAGCTCATGAGAGAAAGTCTCTTTCCTAGCCCTTGACTGCTTTAACTGTTGCAATTGCTGACGAAACTAATTAATTGCTTTGCCTGTCGCTGGCAATTTGCCACGCCCACGCGCCAAACCATCGAAAACTATAAATTCAATTTGCCTTATATGCATTAAAGACAAGCTGAAATATATTTGGTGTCCTGTTCTTTGAGAATTGAAATGATGGCGCGGCACAAAACGCAGAGAGAAAGAGAGGGACCGAGAGAGGGAGCGAGAGAGAGCCAAGTCAGCAGCCAGGGAAGCCAAAGTAACTTTTGCCATGGCCCGAAAATCCTTTTTTAATTAAATTTTCTGTACATTTTGCAGTTTTTAGGTTTGAGTAGACAACGAACCCAACGCCTCATATATGACAAGCAACTCCTTTGACTTCGCCGCGCTCTTTCTCCTTTTCTCTGTCTCTTGCCAAGTCTTCCAGCTGAGGCTTCGCGCAGTCTGTGACTGTAACCAAAGACAAAGTTTTAGCCCGGCTGCATTCTGGTTGCTCCTCTTCTCATTGTTGCTGTTGTCGTTTTCTGTCGACTTAATCCAATTACATGCACACGTACTACTCGACTTGCCATAAAGTACATATGAGCGTAGTTTGCACTTTGATTTTGGTCTCGCCTCTTGTCTCCTGCGGCTGGCCGCTTGCAGCTGCCCAACAACGCGGCTGCCCGGCTGCTTGCTGCCCATAGTCCCGCCACGATAATAATGCAATTGATAAGCGAGAATCGGATCGAGATTACGTAGAGTATTCTCTGAGGTAAGCGCGCGTTAGATAAGCTATCATGTCTATTATAAATTTGTTTTTTTTTGTTAAGCTGTGCAACAAATTAAAGCAGATTCATCCAACAAATATTTAATAAAATATATGTCATCTGATTAGATGAATATAGAAGGTATATTAACATCTAAATTAACAGTTGAACAATTTATCAATATTTATCGATGCGAATATTGTATAAGTTATGTTTCATATATATATTAAAAACTGTTTATTATGTGATTATGATTGTTTATTTTCCGATCAGTTTCAAGCTTATTTCCAAAGAACTTTGATAGAATTTATTTAATACGTGCGACGGGCAAGGCCGAGTATACCCGCTAGTACATATATATTTATATATATTTTTAGGTTCATTTACAAAAACTCGGAACAAGAGCAATAATATACCATTACATTATAGCTCTTACTCGCAGCATTGTTGCTCTCCGCGTACAACATGATCTCATTATCTGTGTCGCTCTACCCCTCTTTCACTCTATTTCTCCCTCTCTCTCTATCTCTCTCTCTCTCTGCAGAGCTATCTGCGGCTTATCAGTGGGTGACCTGCTGTGCAAATTGTGCAGGCGCTGCTAAAGTCAACGATCATAGAGAGAGAGCGAGCGAGAGAGATCGAGGGAGAGAGTTGTTCTTTTAGACAACCCTCAGCTAATTAACTCGATCAGCAGATTGTTGAATACCCTGTGAATAGAGTTTTAAGAAGGTAGTTTGAAAATATGTGTGTTGAGCTACGTATCAGCAAGAACCTAACCTTTCTCTTTGCAGCCGCCTTGTCTAAAGCCTTGTCTGCTTATCAAAACCTTAACTTATTGAGAATTTCAAGCATCAAGTAAGGTATCAGTAGAGCTCAGGCCGGCCAGCTTAATATAAGTATTTATATTAAAAAAGTCACTCACAATTGTCAATGCCAAAAATGTTATTAGGGTAGAATTATTTAAACAATATATATACTCCTGCTATTCGTCTCTATTCGAAATCCATTTATAGTCCTTTTCGAAGGACTACAAAGAGTTTTAATATGCAAAAGTAAACCTACATTTGTCCTTGTTTTACAGTATACAATTTCAGATTCGTTTATCCTTAAACAATTTTTTATTTTTGTACAAAATGTTCAATAAAATAGTTCTACAAAGGATATCTGTCAGTCGCAATTCTATCAAGCTATTCTATTTTTTTTTGTCTTATCTCTGGCATTGGAAAAATAAACCAGATGCTGCTCTGTTGCTTTGGTTAAGCTGAAACTGTTAAACGCAGCTAAATCAGGCGCGTTATCAGTGCGCTCTTCACTACATGCTGCCCCGCCCCACCAAACCACCCCTCACTCTCCCTCTCTCTGTCTGTCTCCCTCGCGCTTTGTCTTTGTGTAGCATTTATGAGCATGACGTGCATTTTTATGATATGTGAGCGCACGGTGGGACGCACGCTCGAATCTTTTTTATGTTATTTATAAAAAAAGAACCGCTTGTATTGAATGGATGCTGGCGCTGTGTTCACTTCCTCTCGCTGCCCTGAGCTTAGTAGCGTTTATTTATTTTTTTGCAGTCGAATCAGTGTGACACTCGCGTCCGGTATGCGCCGGCGGAAGCAAAATTAATTACAAAATACTCATAATTTTGCCGTTTTATTCAAACGCTGACATCCACTCAATTGCAGACGTCCAGCGAAGCGCACACAGCGGGCGACCTGACAGCAACAGCGACAGCAGCAACAACAGCAACAGTTGCAGCCGCAACAGCAGCAGCAGCGACCGCAACAGCAGCTGCCCCAACGCCCATCACAGAAATTGAGCAACTGCAGCAGGCGCTGCTCGAGAGGCAAACGCAACTGTACGCATTGGAAACGGCCTGTCTGAGGGAAACGGAGCGACAAGTGGAGCTAGAGGACAGTGTGATTGCGTGGCAGGATAAATACGATCGTCTCTACGAATCGCACAAACGTGTTCAAAAGGTCAATCAGAGTCTGGAGGATAAAATGCTCAAGCTGGTCGATCGCAATACGAACGAGCGGGCACAGCTCACCAGCGATGTGGCAACGCTAAGCGTACGATTGGCCCAGGCGAATTTTAACATTGCCAAGCTGCAGAGGGAAATTGTGAGTATAACAAAATAAATTTTTTACTATTTAACGCAAAAAAGAAATTAGTAACAGTAAAAGGTTGCATTAGTTCCGACTTGGGTTCTATACTAAACAAATTACAAAGTGATGGAATATTGAATTAAAAATCGATTAATCGAAAGTGGAAAGTGAATTCGATAAAAATAGTGTTGTTAAGCTAACGATTTTATATCGTTCAGAAAGCTTTTAGATGCTTCCCATTCAATGCAAGCAACAGTCAACAAAAAAAGTTCCTAAATTCATAAAAACATTTTCGAAACAGAAAAAATGACTTAAGGCACAAATTTAAATTAAGTTCTTGCAAGCCAGAAGAAAATGTTAAAAAGTGAAAAACATTTTTTAGTTTCATGGTAAAAATTTCCAAAAATTAAAGTTGTGTAGCAAACTTCGTCTAAATTTCTTTAACAGCGACTATGCAGATCATATAAAACTACAATAAAAATGATTACCTATTAAAACTTTCCCTAGTGCTGAAAAGTTTTTAATATTCTTGCTAAGTAAAAACCTAAACAGTTTTTGAAAAATGTACAAGCTCTTCATTTAAATGAATTATTTTGCGCACTACTTTGCCAGCTATTACACATGTTTTACACGCATACACACACACACACACACACACACACAATGCTAATGTGTGTTGCACCAAACCGAAACCATTCTCATGCTTTGTTAATTAGTGTAGCGTGTAAAACCGGTGAGTGCCGCAGCCAAATTGTAATGAGCTTTTCGCCAGGATGCTGGAAAAACGCATCGAGTTTTGTGCAGCTCCCGTAAGGCTGCCCAACTAATTGTCGGCTAACTTTTTGGATGGATGGGGGGGGTTGGGTGTTGTTCGGTTTGACGCGGGGATGGGGCATGAAAAATTGTTAGCTGCGCAACTTTAAGCCGCGGCAAGTCGCTTAGTAGAGCTAAACAAATGCAAGGCGGCAAAGCGTTAAAAACTAGAAACTTTTCCAATTCACTTTGTTTTTAGCCTGCTTTTTGTATATTTCGAAGCCAAACACGAAAAATATCTGCGCAAAAGTTTTCAATTAAGGCAAACAGTAAAACGCCATCGGGCGAAATGCACTTCAACTGCTCCAGCCAATACGGGCGGAGGGGCGTGTTGATGATGGCGTGCAGGGGAAGGTGGACAGACCTAGGAAGCCTTTTAACGCACTTTACTATAACCATGGCTGTCGAGGTGTTTGTGCAGGCACTAGCCCATGTTGGAAACAATTAGCGACCCATTGGCCAAAAGAGAATCGAAAAAGTTGAGAAAATGGTTAAATGTTGCCACCAAAGTTGGGGACACACAATCGCTACATAGCTGGCCAGCTAATATCAACAGAGTGCGAACCAAGAACGGCTGCATTTGTTTTTATTAACTTGTTTACGTGCCTTTGTCTTTGGCTCAACTGTTTGCGCAAATTGATACTTAAAAAAGGACATTTCCACCTTTTAAAAACTTCTTCGGTTTGTCCTCTTGCACGGATTTGCTTTGCTGTTGGGAATGCATTCGTATTTAAGCTATGGCAATAGCAGCGTATTCCCTTTGGCCAGCAGGGGGTTGCTGAGCTGCTTGTTGTGTCTACAAATGTCTAGCTAATATTACTCGGCCTTACCCGAGTTAACATTTTTAAATTTAAGTTTTTTCTTTCACTCATTTTCCACTGACAAACGTGATTTTTTTTGTGTAACAGTCGGTCGCTTGAGATTTAAGCTATTCATTTCAATTTACACTCATATAAGCAGGGTGTTCATAGATTTTCGGAAATCGGAGAAATTGAAACCGACTCATTATCACAAAGTCTTCAGTTTCCAAATCGAGTTTGCCAAGCTTATCACTCATCCTCCAGCTCTATTTAAGCCCAACTTTTCACGTGTTTTCCACGTTTGACCGTGGATTGTTTTTAAAGTAAGTGAAACTAGACCTAAATAATTTTTTAACTGCAGTTGAAAGTCTTGAGCTATAAACAATAATTTTTCACTAATTTAAGTCAGGGAAGCCGAAACAGATTTTTTATCTGAAGCTTTCAAACTATCCACACAGCTTATCAATCATCTACGAACTTTATTCAAGCTTTAAAGTTTACGCATTTTTTCGCCAGATAACGTGGGTTTGCTAAAATCGGTGAAACCATAAGCGATAAATATTTAATGTACAGCTTTAATATCCAGTTCATTCGGCTTAGTTTTAAAATAAGCAACGACGTTTTCACTAATTTCCCACCCCGGGGTGTGAATTCGATTGGCTTGTGTACACTTAGCATGACGCATTTTGTTTTTTTGGCAAGCGTATATGGATTTTCGTTTATGCTTTGCTGTTGCTTTCTTCTTTTGTTGTCTGTTGCCGCTGCTTCGTGCGTTTGGGGCCTGGCGACAATGTCAATAACCTTTTGTCGTATATTTCGTTTTCCTGGTGGCAAGGCAGCGACCACCCACTTGGCCGGATGAAAAATCAGCACTTGGTCATGGACTGCCGCTGCGTCACGTGCCAGAGCGAATTCTCAGTCGCCCTCTCTCGCGCTCTCTCTCTCTCTCTCGCTCTCTCGCTATCGTACGCTGTATCTCACTTGCTCTATCTGCATCCTGTGCACCTTTTGGCATGCCTTGGCCATGGTTCGTTAATCTGCCGCTGGCTTTTTGCATGATAGCTTGGCATTTCCGTTGCAAAACACTTAGCCGTATGCCGTAGTCCTGTCTGTATTCTGTGGCCGCTTTGAATAGAGGGAACGGCGGCTGTGTCCTGTAATCGCTTGCCATCCTTGACTGTTGTTGTCGACTGTTATTGTTTACTGTTCAGGCTGTATGCAAAAGGGATAAAACTTTAGCGCGCTTTTACTCTGAAATACCCTGTACTTAGCTATTGGCTAAGTCTCTTAAAAGTATTAAGTATTTTCTTCGAACAAGTATAAAGCCTGCTTAGCGGTCACTGAGCTAAACAATAAAAGAGTCTAGCGATTACAGAGAAAACTTCTAATATGCGTTTTCTCTTTTTCCTTCTGCTTTTGAATTAAATAAAAATGTTAATTAAAAGTGCAGTTTTGTTTTTGATGCAAGGAATATTATACTTATTCTAAGACCAGACTATCTAGAGCTTTACTGAACTTAAGTACAAATTATATTTAATTCAATTCTATCTCGATTTGATTTCTCTTATCTCAGTGTATTTACTTATAAATATATATTTAGTTTTCTTTTTATTTTAATCGTTGTGCTTATATAAAGAAAAATGTATTAAACCAAGACAATATCTAAGAGGATAGTTACATTTTTAAGCGATTGTAAAGCTATTTCAGAGCTTTGCTGTTAACATTGTCAACTTATTATCTAAATGGAAACCTTATCAAGACAGTCAAGATAGTCACAAAAAGCCAGCGAGAGCTCAAGATAGTTAAGTTGTAAATTCATAGCTAGACAAAAGACTGTGCCAGATATTTTTGCTGCCTAGCACACATGCTCTGGTCTCCACCCTTATCCCAGGGTATTTAGCTGCATACGACTGGCATATTCTTCGGTTCGTTTTGAATATTTGAAACGTCCATGCTGCCATTGTGATTCGCCCATAAACGGGCGCCATCCATTGTAATTCCCACTTGCATTAAATGCCAGAGTAATTGTAAATATGCTGCGGCACTCACCGGTGTCCCGGAGCGTTGCAATTGGAGCAGATAAAATGCAAGCACATACAGTTCACATGGCAATCGCACAGCTTATGCCCATCTAGAAATTCTTTCCCTATCGTTAGCCCGGGCACCGGTAAAAACTGGTGTAATTAATGTTACCTGCCTGGCGGCATCTGTTTTGAGTGTTTGCGTTGCTCACTTTTCGAGTCAAGACGCTGCCTCATTGTCAGATTCCGTTTCAATGCGTTGCCCGAAACTTTTGGGACGCCCTGTGCAACGGTGCGTATAAGTGATTGCATTCTAGACCTGCGCCTGGCTCCGACTCCTACTATTCCTGCTCCCGTGTCTGCCGCAACTCAAGTCGAATGCTCAACTTTGCTGGGCTTAGGCATCGCTGCTGGCTGCTTGTTTTGGGCCTGTGTGCTTAATTTCTTAAAAGTTATTTACATATTTGCCTGATGTGGTTTTCGTAACTAAGCGAACGAGACTTAGTCGGGCTTGTGGACTTGTGGGCGTGGCAACAGCGCTACATTCTTGTTGACTGATGGCTTTGGAGTCTTGCCGGTTGTTGGCATGGGATTTGTGAGTTGAGGTAAACTGCTATTTGAGGCAAATATTAGAGCGTCGAATTAGCTTTATCTAAGGACAAACAAGTGGGCAAAATGTGGTTGAAACAATTTTGTAAGTTTTGTTTTGTTTAGGGTAAGAATCAAACAGCTTTCAGTCCTATTTTCTCTTACTAACTGCCTGACAAACTCGCCTTCTCTCCCTTTCTTGTTCTTTATATATTTGTCTCTTTCTCTCTTCATTGCCCAATCGCCGCTTATACAAAATCGACCCTCTATGCGATTTTCATAGGTTCAAGTAGCCCTTAAAAAATGTTTTTCATTTGGCGAAAGTTAAGCATTATTTAAATTGTATACTAATAAGTTAGCACACGTTCGTTCTCTCTCTATCCTTCCCTACCATTTCATTCAATTGTGGCTTAGCTTAGTTTTTGCAGATCCTATCCAAACACTCACTGGCTATTTACACAGGCTTCGAAAACTATTCGGTATCGTGTAAATCTGAACATGTTTGTGGCGTTTAGAAGAACTCGAAACGAAAATCAAATTAAACCAAATCAAACAACTAACAGCATGGAACATTCATCGTTTGCCTAATCCCACTGAACCTACCTTGTTTTTAATTTCCCTGCACAAACATTGTATGGGTTCCGGTTGCATGTCAAATGAAGCAAAACAATAACAGACCCGGAAAATATGCGGCCAAAACTGCACGCAGAATAAAACCAGAAAGCACAACCAAATTGTACAAAAGTTGATATATTACAGTGAGCAAGAGAGGGAGCGGGAGAGCGAGAGGAAG